TTTGGCCACCGGCTAGCACATACAACCAAAATCTCATTATTAGTAGGAACGAAGAGTGGACCGATGAGTCATCAGGGCATTTTATGGGGTTGGGCACGGTTTCATTTGATATACCAGGTATGTTTCCAATTAAACTATATATCGTCGAGAAATAAAAAGGTATTGTTTATAAAAACGTTTCAAAAAAAAGCTATTCAAAAATAACTGGAGTATCACTTTGATTGTTTCTCTATATAATCTTCCTTTGTTCAGAAATATACAATACCGATCCAAGTGGATATTTGAACAGTAGTGACGGCTGGAGTTCACAATGGCCTAATATTTGAATCCCCTTTTCGTGATACGCTACTTTTGTTGGATTATGCCTGATAGACATCGACAAACAGACGTTGGCACTTCATCCAAACCTTTTTCACACCCGTATTTATAGTGCTGAATTTGTTACAGCAATGAAAATTTTCAGGATATGAAGCCTACCGAAGAAGCTAATATTAGAACTGGTTTTCTAGAAATAACTACCTCCGATATATTATATTCGTCATATCATGTAAAAACTGAAAAACGTTATTTTGTCACATTTAATTCGAAGCGTCTCTGCCGTCTCTTTAAACACCTGACAGATATTAATAATCGTTTGATGACAATTTCGGTTCAGAAACACTTTCAATTTGATACAGGATCCATTTACTGTAAAATAAATTGTTGGAAATTTCCTAATACTCCAGTATTTATGTGCCTTTATTTGTTGATTCACACATTCCATCCACAAAACTTCTTTACTGTTTACAAGTTATTGTACGCTCTAGCTCACGATGTTTCTGAGTACATATCATTTTCACAGTGCTCACAATCATTTATAAAATTATAATTCGCAGGTATAAATAGTTTTGTTTGTATAGAAATACGTTCGTAAATATTTTGTGGCAATATTCAGATCGCAGTTCTAGAATTCTGTCAATGACCAATTAAAAGAGGAAAGTAGAAAATTGCAGTCGTTCAGAACCAATGAATGTCTATATATTTGAATCGATTTGCACCTGGTAAACCACCATTTCCTCTTTGTGTTGCTTCCTTTCTTCAGTTTTCACTGTGTTCCATTCCAGTGTGTTATTTCCACAAATCATTTTTGGAGATTCAATGTTGAAGATATCATGTTAATCTGGACGCTAACTTTGTAGATACGCAAAGTACACGTGACTTCTCCATCTGTTCACTGAACGGACTATAGAAGATTATCTAAGGATAGCGACCTCTCTCAGAAATATTGTGCAAGATGTTTCTTCCTACTACTTAGAAGCATTTGACTTTGCCTATTTCTATCAAGTTTCCCGATAACACTACCTACAGCCCCATGCCATTGTTTCTTAATCCCTCCTTTTTTTTGACACCCATTCCGACAATCTCGTTCAAGTTTCCTTGCTGGATGTATATCATAATTTGTGTTGTCCATAAATGATTCGCCTCCTGAGTAAGGTGTTAATGACAGTTGTGAATCTCCCCCCACCATTATTCCCCCAGTGCCTCCACACTGACTACGATCTTGAAACCCCTTTTCCACTCTCCGCCTATGACTTGACCTTGAGTTGCATGTCATAAGACGTTGAGTTACGTCATGACCATGAAACCCCGTTTCAACTCTCCGCCTATGATTTGACTTCGAAAGCCGCAACAATTCGACCACCTTGGGTCTCACGCCACATGACCTCCGAAAAAACAACTGATTCTGGACCTTCCCCTACCCATAGAATACTACTCAGAAGCGAAAGTAAAGTCGTCACTTTTGATGTTGAGGGGGCAAATTTTAGTAACCTTGAAATCATATGTTGAATAAAATCATGCTTCGCATACTGAGAAAAATTACTATGTTCATCATTCGAAAATGAAACTTGCTGCACACAGAAAACTAATTCAAAACAACATCAGTACTTCATGACGGTATAAACAGTTGAATTTTTTTATAAATAATTTGAAGAGCCATTCCATAATTTTTGAAGGTTATCCAATCATCATTAATAAATTAAATTCCCCCACCTTCTCCAAATATAGTACATATCCGATAGGAAATGATATATTCGGAAAATGTTTTACGTTTACAAAACATAGACAAAAAAGAAAATAAATGAATTGAATCAACGTCAATCATAAGTTTTACATGAAAAATTATTCACACATTGAAATATCCATCAATTGTATATGGTTGTAAATTGATCAGAAAAGTATCTGAAGAGTTTTTTTAAATCTGTTGAGACTTTATTTACAAGTTTTGATGAAATCAAATTCCTGCTTGTCAGAAAATTTTCAGACTTGCCATTATTTCACTTATTGATATATAGATAGATAGATAGATCATTATTTGCTCCGGTTACATATAATGTACATATATAAACTCCGAGAGCAAGTTGAATATGAAATAAGTATTTCGCTTCTCTAAATCTTTGTATTTATATTTATTCAGAATATTCATCTGCATTCAGAGTTTAGTAAGTATATTATGAATGCTGACTGAGATTCTCAGATTTTCACTTTATTATTGACCCAAAGCCTCACGGTTATCAAATAAAACTCAGTATGTAGAAAATCCCAGAAAATCAACAAATAAAATTTTCAATGCATTACTTTTTGATTTATTCACTAAACCTTGTTACAATAATAATGTAGTAGTACATCAATAAACAAAACAATATACTTACCTTAATTATATTTAAACCTAAACTAATATAACAATGCCACAACACTAATAACGGATGATCAACTATTGAGACTGTTTAGGTATCATGCTGAAAGATGATTGAAATAAAAGGTTTGAAAGAGTTAAATAGAAAGATGTACCCTCAGCTGGTAGGCGTAGTTGATCAGGTGTGAGTGTGATTAGAAATTTCAATGGGCTTGTTTCATGCTATGGAAAATGATACTGGTTTGTTTATAGACTGATCGCGTTAGGGGTATATTATACTTATGAAGCCTAATCTCGGTGAGGTCTAAAGTGAGTGGGTCTATTCGACCGTCCACCGCAACCCACAAGGGTTTAAATTTCAGATATACTTTTTCTTCTTATCGGCGAAAATTTCCTATCAACAAAGAGTACGTTTGTTGAAGCACACTGGAATTATACCTGTCGACATTCAGCAATATCCTTAAAACTATTTTATCAATTTCGTCAGATACTAACACTTATTACATCATTATTCATGATAGTATTATTGAATAACTCCCTCCTAACGAAGTTGTTAGAAGTATATTACAAGAACCGAAGGTTTCCAGATGTCAGTAGGCAAAATTATGTGGAGTATTGTTGACATTCAGGGATTTAATCAGCTAAGTAATGCCTAAGAATGGTATTTTTATCCAATAGAAATTTGTCATATTGTTAAAATTTTCGATCATATTGATTTCTGCTTCAATCTGCTGAATTTTCATTTTCATTATTCTTATATCCTCCAGATGTTTCTTCAACATAATTTCTCCTTGGTAAGGAATGAAACGTTCAGATTCAGTCCACTCATATATCAGACGTACTTTTCTTTGACTGCAACAGAATATTTCTTTAAAATAATGCAAACATGAAGTTTTCTCTGGATTCATTATTGGCATTTCTCACCATTGGGACACTTCAATATCCAACTTTGATGTAGGGGTAGTTGATTTTTAACCAATCACATTTCTTGAAACTGACATCTAGAAACCGTCGGTTTTTATGACATACTACTTACAACTTCGCTAGGTGGGAGTTGTTCAATAATACTGTCATGGATTTTTTACTACGTCCATTGTCTAATATGATATTATATGATTTGAAATCTCTCAAAGAACAAATGAAATTAAAATGAAAAGCTATAAATAACAGTCATATTGAGCAATTGATATAATAAAATGAAAATGACCAAAACAAAATTGAACAACTAAAAATGAAATCAAAATTAAAATGATAACTTCAAGTGATAACTGGACTATTCCTCCGGAAGATAATTATTTATAGGTTATTAGAACGCTTTCATCTATGCCCTCTTCCCTCTCACCCCTCACCGGTTCACTGGGAGTTGACCGTTTTCACGTTTGACTAAAGGTTTCCATATGTTGCGTATATCTACGATAGCTAGGCTGAATGCGTCATAAGACAACACATATGAAGCTCCTTTGAACTTCCTTTTGAACCAGTGTTCCTCCCTGTGGATAATCTCAGCTTGGGACCACTTGATATTATATCGATGAGTCCAAACATGCTCTGATATTGTCAACTTGCTGGTTTCTCCTCAATGTGTGTTTCTTATGTGCTCGGCAATACACCTCATTCGACCAATAACATTACTGAAGACCACCGTCGCCGTCATTCATACAACAACCAATAGCAACACGACGAGCACTCACCTTCATGATTTTTTTCATATAACAGCCAATCAGGACATATCTTCGACAGACCATTTTTGTCAGGCCTACCCCTCAAGCCCATTTCCAGTACCCCCAATTCATACACTGAATCCCCGCATCAACCTTCATTTTCAGATAAAAATGATTCCTGCCATGCCGCGTCCATTCTACTTATGCACTATCGGTATTACAGCATCAACTCTTTCTCAATATCTTGTACGAAGGCATGTTAGCGCGGAGCTAGCGCATGGGTCTCTCACCGAGACGATCCTGGTTCGATCTCAAGCGACGGAAACATTTTTGGAGGGCCAGCGCATCCACCAAACTCGCGAATCTTAGGCTAAGAAAACTATATTCGGATTCTATGCCACCTCAGATGGCCTTGAACTGAACTAGAATCAGCATAGTCCTATTAATCTTGTATATTTTTGAAACATATTTACTCTCTTCAACTTTTATTCGAGGCATTATAAAAATTAGTAACTGCTTCATTCATATAAGAACTTTTTCGTGACGTTAACACCTAACCAAGAAAAGTTCATGAAATTACACTTCAAATGATTCTATTAACAATCCGAAAACCGAAATAATACATTTATTCAGTTATTTTCTGATATCCCTATTCTATGTTACAGATCAGAAAGTGGTATGGAAGAGAAAAGTCCCTTCGATCAGACTGAGGTTTCCTTTGGTGCCCGATCCCGAAATAGAAGTAGAAGACGCCCACCTCAGGTTGCTAGCCCCTCCCCAGCTGCACGAGCCCGCCACAGTGAAAGTACAAGTGAACCTCGTCTTGGGAGCAAGAAAGAGACGGCTGCTCGAAGAAAGGATTCTTTATCTATCCAAAAACTCTACAAAATGGTGCGAAGTGGACGTTACCAGTGCTGTGCAATCGTGGTTCAGTGGAAATATCAACTTAGGCTTAGAGTTAGTTTGCTTAGATTTCAATTGTAGGTTGAACCCACAACGGGCGGCCATCACTTCTTTGGTGCACTCCGGCCTGGGCAGACGTACACGACGAGCATCCCCATACCAAAGCGGGGGCAAAACAGATTGTCCGAAGGGCAAGGGCAAGCGAAAGTGCTGCAGGCAGAACATGAAAGTTAATTTTACGAAACTTGACTTTCCGGAAATGAACTTCATCCTGCAGCCGAAAACCTATGAGGCTGGCTACTGCCACGGCCTGTGCCCGCCAGATTTCAATCACGCTACCAACCACTCCAGGATACAGAGCCTGATGCGCCAAATGGAACATAAAAGCACCTCTCGGCGGCCAAAAAAAATACCGAAAGCGTGCTGTGCTCCCTCTAAACTAGGTTCTCTAGACATATTGCTAATTAATAAAGACAATCCCAGCAAATTGATGGTAGAAAAATGGGATAACATGGTAGTCGAAGAATGTGCATGTTCTTAGGTTAAAATTAGACAATGGCGTAATCGGGAGATGCGATGCATGTTTACTCATTATTTGGAGTCGTTATTTTTGCAAAAATTCTTCATTACTAGGAAATGTATCGCACATTATCTCTTCAACTGAATCAATGCATATTATGACAAGTGATCAGAATGATTAGACTCCAAAATAGAAAAGATACAAAGATGCAAATTGTTGATTCTATTTTCAGTTGTTGGACTTTATTGATGATACATTATTTCAGAAATAGAAATATCAAGTCTAAAATCATTCCCTTATGATTTTCAAAAATATTTCAAGATACACATATCGCTGGATTGTCTCTTGTCTGGGTTACATCATATCTTTGCACTCTTTTCAGTAAAATAAAGGTATTATTTCATCGTGAGGTAAATCTTTATCTCTTGGTTATTTTAAGAGTTGAAGATGATTTTACCCGAACGAACACATTACATTTTCAATAGGCAAAAATTAATCGCAACTCCTTTGATCGCGTCAGTGAGAAGAGATGATTAGTTAAATATTTTGTTGTACGGGTCGAACTGAGCATTTCAACATTTTTACTGTGATATAATTTAAATCATTTACTTTTCATTGCATGTAGTATTCTGAAAGTATTATTTTTACCTGTTCATTTTTATATAATATTTAATTTTATATGAACTGATTCCTTTTATTTTGTTAAGTAAAGATTTTTTAGTAAACCCTGATATGTTTCATTCAAATCATATTACCCGTACTTGTTGTTCCAATGAATCTACGTCAGTATTTTAGGAAAACACAAAAACTCATCGATTATTTTTTGCAAGGGTGACATTCTTTTCGGGCATTTATGTCACCGCTACTTCTACCACCAAGCGCAAGTGACAATCACCCCAAAACTTTTAAATGACATGAGGGTCAAGTAAAATGTCGTTTTAAAGTATTTGCAATTAATTTTTTCCATATTTCAAAATTCCACGAAACATCCAATCAGCATCATACCGCTGATTTAGATGAAGAAATCATGTGCATTAGCACAACACTCTATAGAAACAGAAGATAAACCAAATCAACCCAATATCAAAGTTTTATATACAAGAAAAAATAATTTCCAAACGCCTTCTGCTTGAAATGGGCGAAATCAGTATGTTGATATGTGATTGTATGAATGAAAAAACTGACATTGATGATCTCCGCAACATATATAGTAACTTACAGGAACTACACCAAAAACATAAAAATAATTAAAATCTTTAGATTATCTCATCAAATCATCATCATGCTTCATTGAAAAATTACATCAATGTAAAAGTATGTCATTTGTCAAATAAAAAAAATTCACATATTTTCATTTCTTTTTGTTTAATTCATTATTTTATACTAATTTTTACCGTAAGTATAACTTGCAATGTTAAAAAAAATCCACAACATAATAAATTATAAGGCCCTGAAGAAACTTACCATCAGAAGCGAAAGCTTGGCACTGAGAGACCCGTTAATCCCCATATCAGTTCAAATGTATTGAATATTTAGAATGAACAATGTTCCCGAATACCTAATTGGTATTTGGTAACAGTGTTGGTGTTTGTGTTTTCAGGAGATGAAGTACACTAATTGCTAATTTCAAAACTGGTCTCTATTCATATCTAGTAGGGTACACTTTCACATTCAAACACATATCAACGATTTCGGGTAGAAATTAGCTGTTCTTGAAGGCGTCTTGATTGACAATACATTTTTGTGGTTTCCGAAATCGGATATGTGATGTGCTACGGTTTCTTTGAAACGAGTTTCAATAGCTTGCTTAGTTTGACCTACGTTTTTTTCTTACAATCCTTATAACTTATTTCATATATCCAAGACTTTTAATTTTTCAATATCTTGCCTTCGAGGTTGCCTAGCATTTGTTGGAATGAGCAAGAAGTTTTCAAGGTTACTTTTACGTTCAACTCGTTTCTCAATATCGTATCTTTCTTGACAAAGGGGAACGTAATAAGCCCAGGGACAAGAAAGTTTATTTCTGCCGTTTTGTGTTGTGAACAATTGTGTGATCTATCAGGAATTTATCAAAAAGGACTGTTATTCTTCCTATAGGCACTAATAGGTCCAAGAATGGTTACTCCTCGTTGTTATCAATTCCATATGTAAACCTAATGTTCGGAGATCTGTTGTTATGGCACAAATAACGTTGTGATATTGGATAAGTCAAATTACTTTCAGAGAATTGATAATTTGATTAGGATTAGGAACCCATTGCCTAAAATGGTTTCAGAAGAGAAAAACAGAAGTGTCAAAATTTGATTGCTTCGACTTTGACTACAGTTCCTAAAATATACGGTCTACCAAAAATTCGCAAATCTAGCGAGTGGTTACTACCAATTGTTACTGTCATAAGTTTTCCTACTTATTGAATTGCTAAATGCCTAACCAAACAGTTTGAGACTATCTCAATCTCACAATTGCATCTAAGCTGAAAGTAACGGGTATCCTTCAAATATAGTAGATAAGTAAATTGGAAAATGCAAATTGAGGGATAAATTTCGTGAATCTTCGACTTCGTCGTTACAAAGTTCAATGACGTTCCGTATGAATCAAGATACACTAATGAATTAGATGATTTTTCTGAAAGTTTTACGTGAAACTAGCCTTCAAAAACTTTTTGCTCACTACAACGAATGTTAGGTAACTCCAAAGGCAACATGTTGGAAAATGAAAAATCGGGAATATATAAAATAAGCTGCGAGGACTGTGACAAAAAATACATCAGACTAAGCGAGCTAATACAACTAGTGTCAAAAAACACGTGGCACATATTCGATTTTGAGAGAAAATCAAGTGTCACTCAACACTAGGGGATGGAAGTAGCGGGGTCAAAAGTACCTCAGAAAAGCTTGTTGCATATCCAGATAACGTTTGTGTTTCGTTTTAGTTTGGCCAACCAGTATTACGAGTAATACATTAAAAATAATGAAATACCTCAACAGCTACAGATATTCATTCGTACTGAAATACCAATGAATAACATTTGTCAAACCACTTCTATAACCAAAGTATTTCAGTCCCAAAATTGTTTAAATACATGACAAACCTACGGAAGCGCCACATATTTTTAGTATTTGTTTCTTGGGACTCTAGATGAAGTCGAAATTTTCAAGAAACAGTTAATAAAAATATGTGGTTCTTCTACGCTTCCGTACAAATCAGAATCTGCAGAAATATTTCTTGTCCATGTTGGATAACGAATAGATCACTACTGTCATTTGTTACCGCTTTTTGACTGGAGTGGAAAACCGAGAAAAGAAAAGATTCATTTATTTACGAACCTCTGTTTCTCTCACATTTGATTTCACTAATGCCATCTTCCGATGAGAATACGAGATTAAATGTAAATAAAAATATCAATACCAACACTCTCAATTGAATGGTATACCTTTTTCTCTTCAAACAACGGGTATAAATGCACAAAAGGAAACAACTAATCCATATGTTCACAGGATACCCAATTCGACAAAAGTTTAACAACAATTAAACTAAGAATTCTCATGATCGTCTAAGTTAAACAGTCTTTGGAACACATAGCGACATCTAGTAACAAATGGAATATGTATAGTACATGACAGGTCGCAGGAGTTTTGTTCTATATTATAAATTAGCAGGAATTGGCAGTGGGGAGAAAATATTCCAAATAACAAGTAGCGTTGCTAGATGTAAACACATTTCTTTGAATATGAAGAATATCATCATGATTCCAAGAAACAATAATTTTCAGTTCATATTATCAGAACTAATTGATAGTCTCAAATGTCATTTTGTAATCGTCTTCCATAAAAAATTCATTATCGCATTAGCACAATCTGGTTGAACATTTTTTGATTTAAAGAAATCTAGATTTTTGATGAAATGGTCCAGAGAATTCATAAAATTTCATCTGGCAACACTGGTAGCAAGGCGGTGCTGTATGTATACACACTCGGAATTGTTAAAAATCCATCGTGAAATATACTCTTGAGAATCACTTAAGATAAATTGAAAATCATTAGATACCTGAGTGATAAGTGATTTGTTTTTCAAACCTTCAGTTGTAAGTTCAATTTCATTGTGAGTGCTCAAAAATGACTGAAAAAGAAACGGACTCTACAGGGTAAGATTTAAGGTTCAAAGATGTTGTCAATTTGAACGACACCACAGGATTATTGTATCCTTCGCATTTATTTATGTACAAACCCTATCCACTTGAAATATCAGTTTTGAAGGTATATTCCTATATTAGATCACTGAAATACATTTTCCGCTGAAAAATAAATGGACATTATCTCTGTATGACTAATTTATTTCATTGTTTACTATTGAACTCGTATTATAACTTGCCATAGCGTCATATTTATCAAGTTATTATGTTGACTAAGCGCTAAGCCCAGGGGTGGATCCAGGGTTCTTCTCTGCCAGAAACACAGATATTGATAATGAAAAATAGTAGTCATAATAGTGTTTGAACACTTTTTTACATCAGAAAATTGTTTACATCCAGGATAAAATATATTTATTCCTCCCAACAGGTCATTTTCCATTAAGGAACTATAGAGCATTTCCTCTCAACAAGAGTTTTGCTAATAAAATTGGCATAATCATAAAACAGTAGCCCCAGACTTTTCAAACATTTGTCACTTAAAAAGTACTTAATAAAAATGCATTTGATAGAAATATATTTATCAATGTTGAATATCATGGATTTCTGCCTGTTAAGAAACAACAGCTTTTCACAAAAGGTTTGACCAGCGAAAATAGATGCAATAGAAGTTGATAAACCTCAAATTATATTTTCTTACAGTTTCACGAGACTGTGAAAAAATCATCTAAATATCTTTACAAATGGGAAAGTTGACGTTTCACCCCTGCCGTTTCACGCCGTCCGGCTTGTGACGTCATCTGACCCAGACTACGATGTTCATATTCGCTTAGTCCTTAGTAATCTTAGTACAGCCTGACAAATCTAGCTGTGCCTTACCACCTCTCTTTATCTTTCGCGCATCTCAGATTTGCCAAGCTGTACCTACTTCAAATTTTGCAGTTACCGTATCAGTTATCGTATTTCATTACGATAACTGAAACCAAAAAAATACGTTTACAGATATTTTATAGCGCCAGTCATTCTACGCTAAAATACAGAAAATTCAATGTGAATTTATCGATGAATTTTCAAAATTCTTTCACTGATTTCACAAGTTCTATTAGGTTCATCTGGCATTGAAAATATCGTGAAACTTCTTCATTGCCAAAATTTACTTGAAAAAATTATTTTTCCAAAATATATCGACTTTTCATTTCACAAGGTTTCACACAATATTAAGAGTTGATGATATATTAACTATTTGTTTGATGATATCTCTACAATTCGTTTACATGAAAATTATTTCGTATCACGTTTCTTAGTAGATAGGAACTCTTTCAAATTGAGATAATTGAAACAATGAGTGTTATAGTAGCAGAATAGTGTGTACAGTAAGTTCATGAAGTGACAAATGAAATTCGTTGAAATTTGAACAATTATTTCATTAAAACCCTTGTTTATGCCAAGAAAGTTGTTCAAACAATTTTGAGAAAGTGCTGACGTCATATAGGTTTTATTCAACTGCAATTCGCGTTTCTTATCACGAAATTCTGAAAAAAATATCGTTCTAAGTATCTAGTATAATGTTGAAAATTCAAAATTTAAGTGGTGCGAAAAAATATCAAATTGAATGTCCGAGTTTGGAACTAGTGACAATTTGGAAAAATCATATAGAGGCTTAATAAAATCTCATTGACAACTTGTGTAGATTTTGTAACTAACCCAGAATTATATCTTTCAAGTTTATACTTTGAATCAAAACACTAGCTGTTTTATGTTTCATCCCCTGAAAAATTTGAGTGTTGAGTGATCTAGTGAAAATATTGACCTGTTAATCCTCTTCTTTTCGAACGGTTTGATGATACCTTCATAGTAAATTCAACATGGCTGCCGGCGAGGAGGCATATGAAGATATCTCTGGAAAATCTTTTGAATGTTTTGCAAAACAAAACGTTAAAGTTGCAGTGTGCATTACTTGTGGAAATGTTTTCCACAGAAGTTGTTTGGAATGTGTGAAAAATACTAGATGAAACACGTATTATTTATTGTGAAATAGGAATATGCTACCTCAAACTCAAAGTAAGTCTTTTAGACCCAAAATATTTCAAATTGATTAGTGATGAAATCATCAAACATTTGGCGGAAGAAATTAATTATCTGAAGTCAATTATTCAAGAAAAAGATGAAAAATATGCCATATTATTAAAAAAATAAACTCCTTTTGAATGAAAAAACTAGTTAACTGCTGAATAAAAGCATCTATTGTAACATCAAAAAGTATGTGGATTGCCCGTAAATATCAGAAGATAAGACCTATCAGCAAAAAAAGCTAAAAGAATCAATGTCGATGAGAATACCACCAAAAAAATGGGAGATAAACAAAAACGAAAATCCCAAATGAAATCTTGTGAGACAGTTTCCAATATTAGTATGTTGGAGGAGGGATGCAGCTCTGCAACCAAAACTTATATTACGAAGGAAGATGTTTTTTCTGCTGTAAATCAAGCTCAAGAAAAAATTACACTCGATACATACATCAACATTAATAACAATCAGCCTTCAATATCTCAGACAGAAAGGAAAGAATGGAATGAAGTTGTCAATAGGAAATCCAGAAGAACTTGTGTTGTCGATTTGTCAATTCAGAACCTTGAACTTTGATATAAATGGCTCATTTAGAAAGTTAGCATAAAGAAGGTTTTCAATTAGTTAGCATATACTGCAGGCCAACTATGAATTGTGGAGGAGTTGGCATATAGTCACATAACACATTTTAAATGTATCCTATTGATTTGTCAAGATTTTGTAGTGAGCAGAATTTTAAAATTTGGGGTGCATCTTACAAAGTGAATAAATGTACAACTATAATTTAAAATTGTTTTAGATCACCCTGTGGTAATGTTGATGTATTTTTAAATAGGATGTGTGAACTGCTGGACCTATTATATTGACCTAATTTGAATTTTATTTTCTGTAGTGATTTTTACTTCGACAGGTATAAAAATATCAATTTCAATTTATGTTCTATGCTAACATAATTCAATATAAATCCAGTGGTGAGTTGGCCCACTCGAGTTACTGACACCACTAGTACTATAATTGATCTATTAACCCAAATTAAAATATATTTACCTGGATATACATATTTAGATNGCAAGCGTTTAAAGACATTTTGAACTAAAAGCTATGTTCTAAAAATTTTTTTTATATTCGATAAATATTATTACTGATGTATACACTAACTGGATCACAGTTGACAGCTGGAGTACTACGTTCATGAAGATCTGAAGGAAGGGTTGGAATCTGTAAATTATAAGAAATACGGCGTTATAGTTAAACATACCATTGTGATTCCATAACACTGATAGACAGTTATATAAATTTCTTTCATAAAATTATAACGCATAAATAAGTAGTTAACAGGAAAAGACTGTAAGAGTATTTTTCGACATTATATTGCTAAATAATTTAATTATTTGCTAGAAATATAATTCAAAAAGTCGAACTATCTGACAAATTCTAAGAGTCTAGGAAATAAAATATCTAAAAAATTGATCAAAAGAGAGCAAATCTGGGAGAGTTTGATCATCTTTTCAAGGATCTGAAAGAAGACGAGGAGACATTTTTCCAATATTTCCGAATGACTCCAGGCAAATTTTCAGAACTTCTGAATATTCCAGAGCCAGCCTTAACAAGCAACTCAATTTTTCCCCGTCCATTTTCATTGGTACCGTGGGCGGTTGTCCATTCATTTTCATTGTTCCAATCCTATCCGTATTTTGATGGGACGGGACGGGCCGTGCTGTGCTGTGCCGGACAAGTGGGCGATAAGCTTAAAAGGATGGAGAAGCCTGGTTAAGTAAAAACGATGGCATCTCCTCTCATGAAGACGTCATCGATGAGATCGGCAAAAAAACTTAATCCAGGAATATCAACGACGAAGGAGGCTCCCCAAGGCGATCCATTGCAAAGCCGAGCTTCGACATCGACCGCTGAACAAGATTCGTCCTGTCTTTCACTGCAGCTATTACTGTAACAAAACTAACCAGAACTCAAAAAATGAAGTTTTCGTGATCCAACACCAGACTTGCCAAAATATCGCAAGGGGTGCTAAGCTGATTCTATTAATCCGATAGATAGCATGCCTCTCGTTGAACAGTTGGACAGTTGAGTCCAACGATCCATTCGTGTTTTAGCCTATTATCACTGATGATACCTTGATAGGTCGAAATAGCGCTGCCTGGTGTTGGTTCTGGTTTCATCTAGTTGTCTTGCAGTATAAGTTGCAGTGAAGTTTGACTTTGCAACGAACCGCCTCGAGGAACCTCGTTGGTTTTTGATATTCATGGATTGAGTCTTGTACGATCCCATCTGTTTAAAAATCTGTTTAAAATATGTTTTTCTGTTAACCAGCTGTCGCACCCCTACGAACCCTCAGAAGTCGAAACGTGTGCAAGCCAAGGATTAACGAGGTCTTACCTTTTAACGTGGGATTCCTAACACGGGTTGGACTATAGCAAGTGGAAATCGATCGTTCAGACTAGGGCTTGAACCACCGACCAACACGGCAGTCAATTCGAGTGAGTGAACAAAGCACCCACGTCGAACCACCTGGCTACCATAGATAGAGTCTTTGTAGAAGGAGATGTCATCGTCTTCACTTACTTAGCCATTCGGAATTGAGGGATAGTTTCAGAGAAAATTGTCATCAGTACATTGATAGCTTGCTTTCAACACAACAAAGTTTTTGTTTCGGGGTTGAAATTAGATGATTTTAATGTATTTCCACGTGTTAAAACCCAAAGTGACCATAAAAATTATATATTAGCTCTTGTTTTCAAGATATAGTATCATTATATTATATATATGTATATTGAGTTTTCAACAAATGAAATATTTCATCACCAACAGTTGGTACACATGTTTGTTTACATAACACCCCTCTCATCAGCTGTTCTTAAGTAGTAAACATAACCTATGTGAGTTTGTCAATTGTACGCACGTGGTTGCTATTGAAATTATCGTGTGAAGTTGATTTTTAAATTAATTTAAGTGCTGATCTGAAATGCCTCGAAAGTGTGTGAATTCTGTCGATAGCTTT